GAGGAAGACGAGCTGCAGCAGGAGGAAGAGCAGCTGCTGAGAGAACTGGAGAAGGGAAGGCGCCAGGAGAGGGAGAGGCAGTACCGCGAGGAAGAGGAGCTGCAGCAGGGGGAAGGGCAGCTGCTGAGAGAGGAGCGGGAGAAGAGAAGGCGCCAGGAGCGGGAGAGGCAGTATCAGGAGGAGGAAGAGCTTCAGCGCCAGGACAGAAAGCGGCGATACCGGGATGAGGATCAGCGCCGTGATCTGAAATGGCAGTGGGAACCAGAAAAAGAAAATGCAGTTCGTAAAAACAGGGTTTACTGCAAACGTGGAGAGAATGAACAGCTTCGGCAATTGGAAGATTCCCAGGTGCGTGACAGACAATTCCAGCAGGATCTGCAGTCCCTGCTGGATGAACAGCAAGAGAGAGACCGCGAGCAAGAGAGGAGGCGCTGGCAGCGGCGCGACAGGCAATTCCCAGAGGAAGAACAGCTGAAGCGAGAAGAGCAAAAGGAAGCCAGCAGTCGCGACAGGAAGTTCCAAGAGGAAAAGCAGTTGCTGAGAGAGGAAAGAGAAGAGAAGAGACGCCGTCAGGAAAGAGACAGAAAATTCCGCGAGGAGGAACAGCTGCTCCAGGAAAGGGAAGAACAGCAGCTGCGCCAAGAGCGTGACAGAAAATTCCTCGAGGAGGAGCAGCAGCTGCGCAGCCAGGAGCGCGAACAACAGCTGCGCCAAGAGCGCGACAGAAAATTCCGCGAGGAGGAACAGCTGCTGCAGGGACGGGAGGAACAGGAGCTGCGCCAAGAGCGTGACAGAAAATTCCTGGAAGAGGAACAGCAGCTGCGCCGCCAGGAACGAGAGAGAAAATTCCGTGAGGAGGAGCAGCAGCTGCGCCGCCAGGAGCGCGAACAGCAACTGCGCCAGGACCGCGACAGAAAATTCCGTGAGGAGGAACGGCTCCTTAAGGAGAGGGAGGAACAGCAGCTGCGCCGCCAGGACCGCGACAGAAAATTCCGCGAGGAAGAACAGCTGCTCCAGGAAAGGGAAGAACAGCAGCTGCGCCAAGAGCGTGACAGAAAATTCCTGGAAGAGGAACAGCAGCTGCGCCGCCAGGAACTAGACAGAAAATTCCGTGAGGAAGAAGAGCAGCTGCGCCGCCAAGAGCGGGAACAGCTGCGCCAGGAGCGCGACAGAAAATTCCGCGAAGAGGAACAGCTCCGCCAGGAGAGGGAGGAACAGCAGCTGCGCCAAGAGCGCGACAGAAAATTCCGCGAGGAGGAACAGCTCCGCCAGGAGAGGGAGGAACAGCAGCTGCGCCGCCAAGAGCGGGACAGAAAGTATCGCCGAGAAGAAGAGCAGCTGCAGCTTGAGGAGCAGGAAGAGCAGAGGCGCCGACAGGAACGAGACCGGAAGTACCGGGCGGAGGAGCAGTTTGCCAGGCAGGAGAAGAGCCGTCATCAGGAACAAGAACTGTGGCAAGAAGAAGAGCAGAGACGTCGCCAGGAACGAGAAAGGAAATTCCGGGAAGAACAGCTCCGCCGCCAGCAGGAGGAAGAACAGAGGCGCCGCCAAGTCCGGGAGACCCAATCCCAAGAAGGCAAGGGCTATGGGCGGCTTCTGGAGCCCGGCGCTCGTCAGTTTGCCAACGTCCCAGTGCGCTCCAGCCCTCTCTATGAGTACATCCAAGAGCAGAGATCTCAATACCGCCCTTAAGAGATATTGCCAATATGCTGACACCTGCCCAAGCTTTGAGCACAAGAAAATGAGAAACACTGGGTACCAAGTGATAACTCAGATGTTTCAGGTTGTGGGAAAACTCTCTAATGTTAGAATGTCTTTTCTTCCAAAATCTTAAACTACGCTCATTTTATGTACTTTGTACTCCTGCTTTTTATTCTTCCTCAAGTAGTTCTTTACTGCAAGACGTCTTTCTTTTGCTCGTTGATGCAGATGTGGTGTGCATTTGAAAAAAAATACATATAAATCATTTAATTTGTTTAAGGAGTTTTGTTTGAGGAACGTGTTCATGTATTGCTTTCAGAAGTAACAAGAATAATAATAGGATGACTTGAGATTCTAAACAATGGGTCTGTTTGTTTAATGATTGACCCATCTTGTGGAAAGTGCAGATATTTTTAATGTTCAAGTTGCTATTTCTTCTTAAACCTAAATTGATCTTTGCCTGCAAACAGCTTTTCATCTTTTGTGGCATAAATAGCACAGATTCCAGGTAACTGAATTTTTATAACCCTTGAATAGTGCAGGCGGAGTGACCACTGCATAAAAACTTTCTGTGAAATCAGCCTATTACTGGAAGAAATATCTGTTAAGGATAGGTTTAGCTTTGAAGATTTAGAATTCAAATTAGATTTTTTTACACTCCACTTACACATATAATCTCATGAAGCAAAAATGAGGTGTTTCTCAAACAACTTCAGAGTTCAAATTTTAAAATTGTGTCTGGTGTAGTCTACAGTGTTCATTCTACTTCCCCAAGTTTTGAAGAGTTTGAGAATATTACAAAACTTTGTTAATTTTAGCTTATTAGAAGGAAGCTGTTCAGAATCCCATAAACATCTGGCTTACTCTAGGGCAAATAAGAGATCACAGAGGGCATATTGGGGGTGTAAAAAGGAAAAATGTGTGAACATAGAGGCAACTTTCTAGCGGCCCTTTAACAAGACCCATCAGCCCACAAATCATTTGAGGCCTATTTATAATACCTTGGAAACATTCTTGTTGAAATAATTGGACTGTGAAAAATAATAATAAATGTTTGGCAAATAACTACTTTTGTCTGTTTTAACTCTACGTCAATCATAACTCAAGATGTCATGGTCTGGAAACTAACACAAGTTCCCAATCACATAAGGGCATTTTGTTACCGTTTTCTATGTCCAAATATAAAAAAGAGGGGAGGGGATTCTTTGTTTTTCCCCAACAATTTTTTTGCAGTTAGCCTGAACCCTATTTCCATCTGCATACTGAGATTCTCTTCCTGAGTGTTTTTATTCTTGACCCCACAGCTTTCTATACCATTTCTTGCAGCGACTCACTGGTCATGATAAATACTGGTGCTCCCAATGTTTGTTAATATTTCCTTTAGAGAAAGCAGCAGCTTCTTAGTCTCTGATGTCTGATGAGCCAATAATAGAAAATGGCTTGAAACTTCAGATCAGCACTATAAAAACTGTAGATGTCCTGTTGACATCTACACACAATCCATGAGGTGACTGAGTCAGAAGGTACTTACTAGTAATCAGGCTGAAGTATCGAATTATTATCTAATAATCCAAACACCCCTGTGCTGCCTGCTGGAGCCTTACATTTAGTATCCACAGTTTATAACTAGAAATAAGTCCAAGAGGGCCCTAATCAAAACAATATCATTTCTAATCTTGAGAGTCATGATGAGAAAATGCCCTAAAGTTATAGTCACTCAAAATTTTTATCAGTGGTGAAGACAAGCTAAGCTTATAGCTCCTGAGTATCATTCTGATAGAGTAACATGGCATTTTCTTCAAGAAGCACAGCCTCTCTCTCTCTCACTTTAGCAAATGGCAGACACCCACCAAAGACAGACCCTGGGAATCCCCTGACATTGTCTTGGAATTTCATCTATTTCAAATGATTTCTAACTGCAAAACCATTTTTCCCCTAAAGCATACTCTGTTTCTTACTTAAAGATCTTCAAACAAATTCTGTAAGATCTTCACTGACTTTCCTCAGGACCCTCTATGGGTACTCATTCAAGGGCCTCCTTATAAATGCCCAGCCTCAGGATACCTCTGAAATATACACTTCATCAGCTACACTACAGTTTAACAATGACGATTATGGTAAAAATAAAGCCCTGCAGACTTGTAGCACCTTACAAGAAGGTAAAGACATTTCCAAAAAAGGAAGTATTGTTTCATCACAGTTATAATAACATGTAGCTTAAAAAAAAAAAGTGTCAGCTAGCCCATGCCCTCTACCTGTTATTTTAGCATGCTGGCAAGGGAACTGAAGGCCAAGCCTTGTGCTCCACCTGAATAATGCACATGCATGGGCAGAACCTTAAGGCTGTTGGGCAATCGCCTACTTAATTATAAACTGGGAACTCTATTAGCATCACTTAGGCTGCTGCTGGCGAATGGGATGAAGAGTTTAATATGCTATGATAGAAAAGCCAGTCTCTGTGTGTTGTTGTGACCTCCCCACCCCACAGAGGTTGAAGTCTTAACCCTCAGTACTTCAGAATGTAATAATATTTGGAGATGTGGTATTTATAGAGGTAATTAAATTAAAATGAGGTTGTTAGTTCGGGCCCTAATACAATATGACTGGTGTCCTTATAAGAAGATGAAATTTGGATACAGACATGGACAGAGGGAAGATGATGTGAAGTTGCAGGGAGAAGATGGCCATCAACAAGCTAAGGATATAGTCCTAGAACAGATCCTTCCCTCATGGCCCTCTGAATAAGCCGGCTCGGGTAACACCTTGATCTTGGGACTTGATCTTGGGACTTCTGGATCCCAGAACTGTGAGAAAATAAATTTCTATTGTTCAAGCTACCTAGTCTATGGTACTTTGCTATGACAACCCTAACAAACTAATACAATATGTATCAGTAAGGTGGCATTATGTTGCTAGGTAAGCCTGTCTGTATCACGATGATCATTATCCTTTGACATTGTGCAAGCAGGTTCTGGCTCCTCAAAGATAAATTATGTTCCCATTAAATTTGCCATAGTTTATATGATAGAGTGGAAAGAAAGCTACAATAAATCAAACACCTTGGGTTTATTCATTTAGTCCCTCAACAAGTATTTATTGAGCTCCTGCTATATGCCAAGGCAGTGTTCCAGGCAATATACATACGGTGACTTGTTTCTTCACTTTACTATACTATCTTTATGTCCTTGTCCAAGCCGCTTAAGGTTTCTGGGCCTCCATTATTTTGTATTTCAAACTGTGAGGCTGAAATAGCTATCACCAAGGTTATTTTCAGGACTGAAATTAAAATTATTGGCCAGACAGGTGGCTCACACCTGTAATCCCAGCACTTTGGGAGGCTAAGGTGGGTGGATCACCTAAGATCAGGAGTTCAAGACCAGCCTGACCAACAAGGAGAAACCCCATCTCTAAAAATACAAAAATACAAAATTATCTGGGCATGGTGGCACCTGTCTGTCATCCCAGCTACTCAAGAGGCTAAGGCAAGAGAATCACTTGAACCCTGGAGGCGGAGGTTGCAGTGAGCCAAGATCACCCCATTGCACTTCAGCCTGGGCAACAAGAGTGGAACTCTGTCTCAAAAATATAATAATAAAATAAAATAATTTTAATTTTAATTCCAACATTCAATTTGTTCAATGGAAACTCTCAAAGAAACTCAAATAATGCGTGACCCCAACTTCTACCTTTAGCTAACAAAAAAGGAAAAAAAATAACTGATGAAAATTATTATCAGAGCCTACTTCTGACTTTGAAGATCTTCCCTTTCTGCCCAATCAGCTCTGAACTTTCCTCCATTAGTCTCCCAGATTCTTTTCCAGAGCCCCTTCCTACCATCCCAATTTTATTCACTTAAAGAAAAGACCCTAAACCTACCCAATTTTCTTTGACCCTAGTACTACCAAAGATCATCGTCCCTCTATGAATTTGACATATACATTTAATTATACTCTTTCTTTTCTGAGAAGAAAACTAAACTGAGTTCTAGAATTTGGTCCCGCTCAAACTAAAATTTAGTAGTCATTAGTTAAGTTCTGTAAGTACTCCATCTTCTGCACTAATTGCACATTGCTAATATTTGCATTAAACCATGGTAATTATGAGTTTTTTCAGCAAGTATACTCTGTCAAAGATTATAATCTATGCAATATGTAATAAGCACTTTTCCCTTGTTAATAAAGAGCTGACAGTCACATGTAATAATCTCAAACTAACCTAAATGATAGATTTTTGAGCAGGTTATTATTTTCTGAACCCTTAAAACATCCATGGCAAGCATTCAAATAACAAAAGATTTTTAAAATCTGATTTGTCACCACTCTTCCTTAAGAAAAAAAAAAAAATTGTGTGGCAATTTCTGCAGGATAAAATCCAAGATTTTCAGTTTCGAATTTAAGGCCCTTCCCAATTTAGTGTCAATTCACCTTTTAAACTCTGACTCCCATGATAATTTCTAGAGCCAAGCATATGTTCAAACGGTATTAGTCTATTTGTTGTCATTATGATGCCTTATGATTGTCCTTACTTCAAAGACATATTGGCATACTTTTATCTGTTGGGAGTGCTTCTCTCCTTCCTGGCTATCTGGGCAATTTCTATGCAGTTTATAAGACCTAGGCTGAGTCTGACCTCCTCCCTAAAATCTTTCCCTAATCACCCTGACACACAATGATCTCTCTCTTCATTGAGATTCTTTTTTTTTTTTTTTTTTTTTTTTTTTTTTTTGTTTGTTTTTTTCTGTTGTTGCCCAGGTTAGAATTCAGTGGTGCA